AAAAAAAAAGAGAATTTAACGTTTAACTGCCTCTGAAGGTCACTGTAGCTCAGAACAAAAATTATAAAAAGGTTTACATAAACACAATAAAATCTATAGAGCTATGAAAAAATCTTAATTTTCAAAACAGCATTTGAGATAAAAAAAAAAAAACAATTCACTTTTAGCACACACCCTGTAGTCAAACTATATAAAGATGTAATAAATCATAAACAGCTGAATTTTGCACTCTTGCATAAAATCAATTTAGGAAGAGAGGGTGTGGGTTAAATATAAAATCCTTTAAAAGAAAATTGATTTTCTCAGTGTTTTTTTTCCTGAGGACATTGTGACGCTAAAACAAAATGCAGGACGAGTAGTGAACAAAATCCCTTTAAACTACATTTATCATAATTAAATACCTCAACCTGAATACTTTATGTTTTCACAATGAAATATTTTAATGGAGTAATTAAATACTAAACCGTTCCAAATAGACAAGACTATTGTGTGAATACTACTGCGATTAAAAGAACACTTTAATTATATTTTAAACATTTACCAAGCTAAAATAATGCAGGGGAATAAATGGCTAACATCTACTGGATTGAGTTATCATGATCAACATGTGTACCACATATGAGACATGAATGTTACAATCTAACAACAGATAAATTAACAAGTCCTGCTGGGAAGGACAGACTGGTGTTCATGCGCCCCAGTTATTTGGGTAAGGTCAGTCCAATGCAGAACAAATGAAATAGTCTGAGCAGTCCTGAAAGGCTGTTTAAAGAGCCAGTAAGATTAGGCCAGTGTGGCTTGCCCTGTCAGTAATGGAGTTTCTGCCCTGGCAGATAAAAGGGGTGAGGAGTGGCACAAGGAGATCGGAAGGAAGCAAAAGACCGTGCTGAAAGGTCTGTTGTTCATAATGGAATGAAAAGGGCACGATCAGGATCATCCCTTTGAGGGCTGTTTAGTGTGAGATAAGCGACTGAAGTCCTTACAGACAAGGAAACAACACCTTGGGTGACATGCCAGATGACAGCGTGAAAGCACAACTCTTACAAGAACACTTTAAAGCAAACACAAATCACATCGTCAGCCGTGCAGCTGCTTTTCCTCTGATTCGAGATTAATGTCTCAACACAAAAACAAGCAAACGAAAAGATCAATACAAAGAAAGTTGTGGACAGAGTAAGAAATTATTCACAAAGTGATAATGTTGTGTGACAAGCACAAGGCAGCCATTTTTAATGCCAAAATTAATTACTGTATTTTTCGCCCTATAAGTTGCAACTTTTTGCATAAAGTTGCAAGTCCTGCGACTTATACACCGAAGGGACTAATATACATGTTTCCCCATATTCATATCCCAATTTTTGGCTGAGATCTGACGATCATTCGTTCTGACATAGAAAACATTGACCACTACCATTTTCAGCAGCTAGAGGGCGCTCGACTAATATGGCAAGCCAAGTGTTTCATTAAGAGGTAAACTGGCTATTAATGAGACACTTGACTTGCCACACTAAGCCACCTTTGTCTCACTCTGGAACTCCTGGAGAAAACGTCAATTCAGCTGCATTTTGTCGTGCTGCCCAGGTGAAATGCAGCTGATTTGACCATTAAATGGAAAAGTTAAA